ACAGTCCTTCAAAAACTAGAAATTGAGCTTCCATATGATTTTGCAATACCAATTCTGGAAATATATCCCGAGGGCGCAAAAATTCACAGTAGAAATGACATTTGCACCTGTATGTTCATTGCAGCATTGTTCACAATATTGAACAATTGAAACAACCCGAGTGCCCAAGAACAGACAACTGGTTAAAGAAACTGGTACATCTACACAATGGAATACTATGCAGTTGTTAGGAGAGATGAAGTCATGAAATTTGCTTGTAAGTGGGTGGACAAGGAGAGTATCATGCTACATGAAACGAGTCAGAAAGAGAGGGACAGACATAGGAGGACTACTTAACATGAGACTGACACCCAAGGACAAAGGGGCCAGGAATACTGCCCCAGAGTTGGAAACCTGTCTCATGAGCCTGGGGAGGAGGCAGCTTAAATAGAGAAGGGATCACTAAAACAATGATGGTTGGAGGAATCATCCCAGATGGGAGATGGGTGCTGAAAGTAGATAAAGGACCAAACATGACAGCCTCTCAGTATCTGTATTGCAAACAATAATGCCCAAAAATAGAGAGTATGGGGGAAATTTTCTGCCATGGAGGCAGGGGGGAAAGTTGGGAAGAGGGGGGCGCACTGGGGACATTGGTAGTGGAGAATATGCACTGGTGGTCTTTGATCATTGTATGATTGAAATTCAAACATGGAGGCTTGGAACTGTATCTCATGGTGATTCAATAAAAAAAAAAGAGTGTGGGTTCATGGTTCAGAGGGAGAGTGCAGAAAGCTGCCTTGTGTGTGGTCTGTCTCGGTACTGTCCTTAGTATGACACTGCCCAAGAGTGACACACATAACCAGGCAAAGGCCCTGAGCACTGTCCAGTGTGGCTTAGAAATCAAAAAGAAATTGTAAGTGTGGGGTTTTGATCCAAATATCCAACGACAGAAGGGTAGCTAAAGAAGTCGTGGTCCTTACACATAATGGAATACTACACAGACACAAAGAGGGATAAAATCGCAGTTCTCTGCAACATGGATAGAACTGGATGTATCATGTGAAAAGGAGTCAGAGGGAGAACAGATAGCTGGTATTCTTCATCTGCAGTTTAAAGAGCAGTGCAAGAAGGGGGTGGAAGGCATAGGTGTGGGCAAACCCTTGGTCTCAGACTATGCAAACGACAATGCCAAAGAAAGGGGAAGGAGAGAGAGAGGATGGGTGGTAATCTAGGGCATAGGTAAGGGTCCTTGGACACTTTGAATCCAATCAAGCCTGACTTCCTAGCTGGGGATTGGCTACCCCAGGTGAGGGTCGCATCACTAAATGTGGAGGTTGTGAAAAATCCTAGGAATTTAGTGTTGGGCTTTTGGGTTTGTTTGTTTTGAGAATGAAGTCAAGTTTATTGGGTTCAGACCAGGAGTCTGTGGGGTTGACCTCTGTGAGCTTAGTAAAACTCTTAGAATAAGCTTCGAACCAATCACTTTATGACTATCAGTGAATGATTTCAGTATTGACTTTAGACACCTTCACACAAGTATCTTGAGGGCAAGGGGTAGCAAGTGGATAATAATATCAGTTCTGAGATGCACTGTGGTCCCCAATTCCTCATCTGAGCCCCTCTGAAAGTGACAGTGGGATCAGGGATACGCAAGGATTGGGAGCCACAGGATACGTGGCCTTGGCCAAGAGGAGAAAAAGGCCTACAAGGAAGAGCCACCCGCCTCCCGTCACCCCAGAGCTCAGGAGGGTCGTTGGGGGGACCTTGACCTCAGCTTCCCACTCAGAACTGTAGCGACCAGCAAGTCCAGAGGCTACTGACAGACTATGGGTTGAGGCCTTTCTTCAACAAGTGGCTCCACACTGCAGGATTCAAACCAGACTTAAAACAGGCACAGCAGAAGCCATCACAACTTTCTCATCCGGAGCACCAACTGCTGAGTTCTCTGGCAGATCTGAGTGGGGTGGCCTCGCCATTTCTAACCAGGGGAATGTGAAGAGCTTGAGACTCAAGTTCCCAGCTCCCCAGTAGACCCCAGAATCCTCTGGTAAACCTTTCAAAGTCGATGCCACATAAGCTCCTCCCCCTTTCTGGGTCAGCCCACTGTGGAGCTCTCCAGTTTCGTCCTGGAAGCCTCCAGATGATTCTGAAGTGCAGGGCTAAGCCTGCTTCTCTAGCTCCAAAGGACGTGAAGGTCACTTTCTTTTCTATCTCAGATGCAGTCTGCAAACCAACAACTTCATCCTCTCCCAACCCTCTGCCAGAAAACCCAAGACCTTGGTTTCCCCCGGACTACCCACTAAGGAATGCTTATTTTAACAGGATTTCTAAAAATTGTAAGGAACCTTAAAATTTGAAAAGCATCCTGTTTCAAAATGTTCCCCTGGAAAGCTGGTCAGAAGTGGTCTTATACTCTAGAGAATTTTTTGGAACCCAAAATTTTCTACAAAGCCAGTAACAGACACCCGAGACTCCGGACCCCTCATCTAGGCCAATGACATCCCTCAACTAAGCCCTCTGCTTTTCCTCCCGATTCTTTTTTGAGTCAGAATATACAACAAAGATACAAACTTTTATTTTTCTATTATACACGCAAACTTATAACTATTTGTGCCATCGAGGAACACAGAAGTAACTGCGTTATTACCAGGTCATGACCACATAAGACAACCGGTTACTGATGATTTGGGGGCAGCTATTTTCACAGAACACAGCAAAAATTTCCAAATTAGACTTCTCGGACCAGATCTCTACTCTGCGATGAGGGTCAGCACTAATGCTTCCCCACGGCCACCAGGCGCCACCTTCCCCGGGAAAGAGGACGGAGCTTCTGCTGAAGGATCCCAAGCAGCACCTGATTGTCGGGGAGGAGCCTCCCAGATCAGTGTCACTTATCCCGGAGAATGCGTGCTGGGCTCGGAGACGTTCATCACTCCAAAGGTCCGCTCTGAGGTCAGTGCTGGTTCCTATGGTAGGAGAAAGACAGGACCCCCAGCCCCCACAGGGGCACCTCTCCTCCGAGGCAGTCCAGGTGGGAGAGCGGAGTCCAGATGAAGCCGCGGTGGTCACAACTGAGGATTGGTGTCGCTGAGAGACAGGCACACAACACTGGGAGTGGGGATCATCCTCTCTTCTCCTGTGCGCGTGTGGAATGTTCGTAAGAAAGAGCAAGACGCCAAGAGCAATTCAAAAACAGACCCGTACAACTCTATGTCCCGTGAGGCACAAGCGAGAGTGGAGGGAGGATACTGAGGTACTGGTACTGTACAGCAGCCACTGTCCACAGGCACGGGGTCACAAAGGGCCAACCTGCAAAGACAAAGAAGGGCCAGGTAGGCTCTGCCAGGTTCGGACCTGGCTCCCTGAGAAAGTCAATCCAGGCCCAATTTGGGGGGAGACGGATCGGGTGTCCAGTTGGAAGAAGTTGTTACCTCTCAGCCCCCTGCCCACCACTGGACTCCCATCTTCCCACTGAGAGCACCGAAGCATACCTCTCCAGAGTCCAGGCTCTGGAGGTCCTCGGGGACACAGAATATGGGGGGTGGGGGAGGGGTAGAGATGGGAGGGGAGGGAAGGCTTGAGGAACTACTCTGGGGGGAGGAGAAGAGGACAGTGGCCCAGCTCAGCTCCCCAGCCTCGCCCATCCTCCCTTGCCTCAGGAGAGAGCCTGGGGACCCCTGACTGGAGTCTAAAGGCCCCTGCCATGGCTCTGTGAATTCGAAGACAGCAGGAAAAGTGGATATTACAGCCCTCAAAATATGTGGGAATGGGTGTGTGCATTAGTCTCCCCATCGTGAGGACCTCGGGACTGAATTCCAGCCAACAGAATCAACCTTCCACCCAGGACTCAAGATGGGCCTGAACTGAGATCCACTCGGCCACTGGTGTCTTCTCTCCTCCCAGAGTCCAACGTGGACAGGGCAAGTCCCCAGGGACCCTGTGGCTAGAGGGAGAAGCCCTAGAGCGGAGGGAGGAGACCTGCAGGAGGAAAGGCAGCGGGAAGGAGGAGGACTGAGGTGGGGTTGTTTCCCCTGGGCTTGGGGAACGGGGGTGGGCAGTATCGTCTGCATTTCCCGCGGCCAGCAGACCCATGGCGGGCATTACCTTTTCCACGGCACCCCTGCGACGGCACTCGGGTGGCATGAGGAGGTGACATGTGAGTGGACAGAGAGTTGACGGTATCCACGGGGCACAACCCGCCTGCCCATCCATCGGGCCAGCGACCAGCGAGATTCCCGACAGACAGGAGCGGGTTGCAAGTCTCAAACAGTGGAGGGCTTTGGGGACCACAGGCGGAGGTCGTTGAGGTTCTCGACGATTGGGAAGCCAACGGGGGCCAAGAGCCACCTAGACAAAACCCAGCGGCCTGTGCGGTCCTGGGAGAAGGCAGATCCATGCGGCAGATGGGCTCAGAGGCAGGCAAAGACTTAAGACCAAGGAGAACGCGGCTTCCCCTTTACTCTGTTCTCCCAGAGGTCTCAGGCACCATCGTGTTCCATGCATGTCCCACAACCGGTCACAGGGCTTAGCACAGGGTCGCCAGAGATGAAGGCCCCTGGGTCCTACAACGCTTAGTGATGGTAGGTGGCTCATGTCCTGTGTCTGGCTTCGATTTGGCACTGGCGACCAGACACTGTGCGTGCCACGGCGGGCAGGCAGGGACACAAAGGCCCTCGAGGAGCCAAGTCTGAGGCCGGGCTGGTCCTCAGAGAGAGGGCGTGTCCACCACGGGGCGTGGGGCACAGGTGGGCAGGAGCTGGCAACGGAGAAAAAGGCAGCAGGCACTCAACAGGCAAGAGAGCAATTCACATCAACGGGGACGCTCGTGTCGGAGCACGAAGGCCACGGGGAAGGCGGCTCCGGGAGAACACGGCTGTGCGTGCCACGTCCTCCGGAGTGAGGTCACAGTGCAAGAACGGTCAAGGGCTCGAAACGGCGGCCGCCGAGCACAGCCGGCTGGCCACGGGCACAGCAGCAGCAGCAGCAGCGGGAGGTAGCAGCACGGCTCGGGCGGGCCATCAGTTGGCGGCCCGGGGCCCGGGCTGGGGCGGGGGCTCGGCGGGCGGCTTGGCGGGGTCCCGCTCGCCGCCCTCCTTGGCCTTCGCCTTCGCCTCCTTCTCCGCCTCGCCCCGCAGGTAGTAGCGCAGGGGGTCGGGCCAGAGCTCCTCGTTGATGATCTCCACGATGCTGTCGGCCTCGACGGGGCTGTGCTGGGCGAACCAGCCCAGGAAGCTCGGGCCGGGGCCGCCGGGGCCGTCGGGGCCGCCGCCCTGCAGCAGGGCCTGCGGGTCGTGGCCCGGCAGCCAGCGGATGGGCGTGCTGCGGGAGACCACGCGGCCCGCGGGCCCGCACCCGTACTCCTTGACCAGCACGCGGTTCTGGAAGAAGGGGTTGCGGCCGAAGCGCAGCGTGATGCGGTAGCCCAGGCGCGCCAGGCCCAGCTCCTCCACCTCCAGGCTGCGCAGGTGGCCCAGCAGCTCGCGGTCGCGGCGGCCCAGCAGGGCGGCCAGGCGCGGGTGGCTCTGCAGCGCCTGGGCCCAGAAGCCCGGGACGGCGCGGATGAGGCGCTCGCGGCGCTCCAGGTGCTGCAGCCGCAGCCGCCCGAACTTGCGCGCCAGGCGCAGGTAGGCGCGCTCGGCCTGCGCGCCCGCCGCCTCCAGCCGCCGCTGCGCCGCCTCCAGCGCGCTCACGTCGCGGGGCGCGGGCGCGGGCGCGGGTGTGGGCGCGGGTGCGGGCGCGGGTCCGGGCGCGGGGGCCTCGGCCGGCCGCCCCTCAGCGCCGCCGCGTCGGGGCTTGGCCGCCTCAGGCGCCTTCCGGCCGCCCCCGCGGGGCCCGTTCCTCAGCCCGACGGGCTCGGCCGCCAGGCGCGGGGCCGGGGCCTTGGCCGTGGCCGTGGCCGGGCCGGGCCGGGCGCCCCCGGGGCCGCCCCCGACGGCCGCGCCGTCCGCGCACGCGGGGCCCTGAGAGGCGGCGGCGGCGGCGTCGTCGGTGGCGGCGTCGGGGGCGGCCGGCGCCGGGCGGCCGCGGCCTCGGTGGCGCCCCTTGCCCCGGCCCTTGGCGCGGGCCGACTTCCGACCCCGACTCCGGCCGCTCATGGTCGGGGCGGCGGCGGCGGCGGCGGCGGACGCGGCTTCACGGCCGCCTCGTCGTCGCCGGCCGAGCGGCAGCGGCGACGCGCCCGCCCGCCCGCCCGCACTCACGTTGCGCTCCTCGCCGCGAGGCCGCCTCGCCCCTAGCGACCGCTGACGCCGGCGGGGCGGCGCGCGAGGAGGCAGGCGCGCGCTGATTGGCTGGGCCGCCGCGGCTGCGCGCCAGTCACCTGCGCGCGCTGCCCTCGCCCCGCCCCCTCCCCAGCTCCAGCCCCGCCCACTTCCTTCCCCTCCTCCAGCCCCGCCCCCCAGCTCCAGCCACGCCCACTCCTGCCCCGCCCCCAGCTCCAGCCACGCCCACTCCCGCCCCGCCCCCCAGTTCCAGCCACGCCCACTTCCCCCCAGCCCCGCCCCCCAGCTCCTGCCCCGCCCCCAGCTCCTGCCCCGCCCACTTCTTCCCGCCCCGCCCCCCAGCTCCAGCCCCGCCCACTTCTCCCCCCCTCCCCCCCTCCCCCGGGCCATCTCTCTGGTCTTCAAAAGTTGTCAGGTCAGGTCCTGAGAAAGGCGGTCCTAGGCAGGCCCTCCCCTTCCCATCACCCCCTCACTCATCTTGAAATCTCTTTGTTTCCCCCCCACCCCACCCCACCCTTGGGTGGATGGTGCTGGCTCATGACAGGTGTCCCCAGCACTAGAGGTCCCTGATCAGTTCTCTCCGAAGGCCTCGGCTGGGGGCGTTTGTCCCTGGACCTCCTTCACACCCAGAGAATGGGGACCAAGGTGGGGACCCTCCTGGCACGCCGTCATCTGATCAGGGTTCACCACTGGTTCTGAATGAGTGTTCCCCACCACCACCACCAAACCAACATGCACACATGCACCCGCCCAGCTGCCAGGCTCCTTCCCGAGTGCTCCAGAGGTGAGGTGTGGATGGATGATGAAGAAGCCTTGAGGGCACACGTCTGCTCAGCTAGCAGAGAGAACTGGCTGCCCAGCACCAAGGAGCACTGCTGTGATAGGGAATAAGATGGAAGGTAGTCGAACGGGGGGGGGGGTGTGTCCATTCTCTTTTGGGGAGAGGGGCGAGGGTCCCAGGTGGAAGCTGAATTTCCCTCGTGATAGTGGGCTGCCCCACTGTCTCGCCGCTCTAGAATATCAGGCCTGTGAGGATGGAGAGCTGGTTGAGCCCACAGAAACTACAACAGTAGCAAAAACACAATAAATTAATAAATCGTGAATAGCACTACACTGTAGCACTGTCCTCCCGTTGTTCATCGATTTGCTCGAGCGGGCACCAGTAACGTCTCCATCGTGAGATTTGTTGTTTCTGTTTTTGGTATAGCAAATATGCCTCGGGGAGCTTGCCAGGCTCTGCTGTGCAGGCAGGCTACTCTCGGTAGTTTACCAGACTCTCTGAGAGGGACGGAAGAATCCTACCCAAGTCGGCTGTATGCAAGGCAAACATACCACCCACTGTGCTATCGCTCCAGCCCATCACACATCGTAGTTTTGACAAACGGTGAACATCCGTATCCAGGATCTAGAAAACATTCGTGAATCTCAGTAACAAAAAAGAAAACAAGAAATGGGTGGAGAGATAGTGCAAGAGTTAAGCACTTGCTTAAGTCCTGGTATATGCTGGGTATATATGTGTGTGTGTGTGTGTGTGTGTGTGTATCACTACTGGCGTTATTTGGGATACCATTGGTAACTAGGGAATAAAAATGAATAACTGCAATTTTTTTTGTTTTATTTTATTTATTTATTTATTTATTTTTGCTTTTTGGGTCACACCCGGCGATGCTCAGGGGTTCCTCCTGGCTCATGCACTCAGGAATTACTCCTGGCGGTGCCCAGGGGACCATATGGGATACTGAGAATCGAACCCAGGTCGTGCGCGTGCAAGGCAAACCGCTTACCCGCTGTACTGTCGCTCCAGCCTCCTGTTTTAATTTTTGAAGAACTGTGATATACAAAGTTATCGATAGTCGGGTTTTAGACACGATATTTTCACACCAATCCCACCACCAATGTCGAATTTCCACCATCAGTGTCCCCATGATCCCTCCTGCCACCCCTCACCCCATCCCACCTGCCACCCTGACAGGCACATTTTGAAGTTTGATGGTTGTAATTTAGCTCTCCTGTTTTCAGTGTTCTCGAGTGTGCGTTTTGGGTGTCTGGCTATGCCACTCTCCCACATCACCAGTATAACTGAAACCCCGACACCTGTTCACCCATTATTCCCATTCTCATCTTCTTCCCTCCACCCCCCCCCCACCTTGATTTCTTTCCTTCTCGGCTCATCTCCTCGTGCTCTAGGGTCTAGGCTGATCTAGGCACACCCCCCCCCCACCCACTCCACCCCCAGCTCTTTCCATTACATTTCCTCCGGTTAACTGCAGATTTTTTTCAAATATGTTTGTAAATGGTCTGAGATGCAGCCCCCTAGTCTCTCTTGGACGAAGATGGAGCATTGAGATACACCCAGGGGAGCCCATTAAATCATAGGCTGGCTTCCCACCCAAGTAATCTTGTTATGGCCACCTTCGGGGACAGTCTCGGTGGTGTTTCTGAGCGAACAAAACCTCAGTTCATGGAATGAAGATTAGACAGAAAGTGGGTGAATCATAAGCTGCCCTTGTGTTTTTGCTGAAGGCCCTTTCAGAAGGGGCTTGTCAAGGCCTCTGGGATCATCCCAGACAGCAACCGGTAGCCTGTCCTTGAACTCAGGGAGAAGTTAAGAGTCACGTGTATTTGGCAAATCAACACTCAGTTTTATGCCATCTGCTGGGAAAGGACTGTACTGTTCAGAAACAAAGCTGGATAAACACAGTGTAGAACTCTCTGGAAAGCTCCAGGCACCTATAAAAAGTACAAGGAGCACCAATCTTCCTGTCCAAACTGCAGCCATCCGTGGGCTGGCCCCGGTCTGAGGGCCTCCAGCGCTTCACCAGCCACTGCCATCATGTGCCTCTGTCCGTCAGCAGCATCTGCGTCACTGGAACTGTGGAGCTAAGGTTCTGCAGAGTTAGCTAAGCCAGGTCCTGAAAACAGTGGTCAATCGTGCCATCTGCCTGGGCCTTTGTCATCAGGGCAAAGAGATTCACATTGGGAGGAGGGAACAAGTGTGAGGTCAACACCTTCTAGAAAGTGTTTTTGATTTTCTGTTCCCTCTCTCTTCACCTCTGGGGCTGGAGTGGGTAGCTGTTCTGAACTGTTCATTTTCTTTGCAGAAAAAAATCTTTTCATTGGGGCCGGAGCGATAATACAGCAGGCAGGGCACTTGCCTTGCATGAGACCGACCCAGGTTCAATCCCCAGCATCCCATATGGTCATCCAAGCACCACCGGGAGTAACTCCTGAGTGTAGAGCCAGGAGTATGCCCTGAGCATCCCTGGGTGTAACCCAAAAGGCAATAATAATAATAATAATAATATTGTCACTTTCCGTGGGACTGACCATGGGTTCTCAGTCAACTCTGTGCAGGATACAACCATGTATGTTGTTATCCCTCAAACCCTAGCCAAGCACCTTCAAGCACATGGGTCCTCTTCGTGAAAATTCTTGTTTATTTTGTACTTTAATCCAGGGTGCTGCCTGCATTCACTCCAGCCCCTCAGCCACTGCATTGAAACAGGAGCAGTTTCTGCTTCCATCTTAGAAAAGGGCCACTTTGCAGAAAGTTCAGTATTTGCACATCGATAGTAGTGTGATTTCAGCCCAGGTAACCCCGACTTCGGCAACTGGGTTTTTTACCACTGTTCGATGGTGTGAGATTATGGCTGGGGAGATTGAAATACCAATCTCTCTCTCTCTCTCTCTCTCTCTCATTAAAAAATAAGTTTATCAGTTTTCAAAAATCATACCTGTGCATATATACCTGTCCCCAGCTAATGACATCTGAGGCAATCTTCGTGGGGAGGGGCAGGCAGGCCAAATTCCCACTCTCCCAAAGCCCCAGCAGCTGTACTCACACGCCAACACAACAGCTTGTTTCCAGACTCTAGCACCTTACAACTGAGCTCCACAGAGATGATAAACTGCTGAAAGTTTCAGGTATTTGGGGGGGTGGGGATGGGCTGAAAATTCCAGGCCTTCTTGGAGTTGGGGTGGGTGACCTCCCCCCACCTCCCCATACTTCCAGAAGTCCCGGAAGCCATACCACATTCCACCACCACCATCATTTAAGCCCACTGCCCAGTCAAATATTCTGATTTTCTGGATTTTTCTGCCATTTGACATCTCCCAACTCTGTGATACTAATATCCCTGTAGGAGCGTACCAGATGGGATAAGAATGTTATGTAGGAACAAACTAAACTCAACTAACAAAAACATGAACACAGAAGGCTCAACTAGCAACAACGGCTTAGTAAACCCTCAGATAAGGGCTTAATGTCCCCATGGTGAGGTACAACAATTTTCACAAGTTTTCTTTTACTGTATTTTTTGATCTTTCCCTTAGCCATTTCGTGGTAACGATAAATATAAAATAAATTATTATGGGCTTGCTATGGGGGAAGACTTGAGGGATGGTTGGGAAAATGGAGACAACGGTAGAGAGAAAGCGATGGGGTGGTGGGATTATAAATTATTGTGGACTCGCTACAGGGCAGGCTTGAGGGGTGGTCGGGTCAACGGAGATAGTGGTGGAGGGAAGGTGACAGTGGTGGTGGGATTGGGGTTGGAAAATTGAATGCCTGTAACATTATAATGAATAACTTTGTAAACCATGATGTTTAAAATAAAGGGAAACAGGGGCTTGAGCAATAGCACAGCGGGGAGGGTGTTTGCCTTGCACGAGGTCGACCCAGGTTCGATTCCCAGCATCCCATGTGGTTCTCAGGGCACTGCCAGGAGTAAATGCTGAGTGCATGAGGCAGGAGTAACCCCTGTGCATCGCCGGGTGTGACCCAGAAAGCAATAAATAAATAGCACAGCACAATAGCATAGTCCTCCCGTTGTTCATCGATTTGCTCGAACGGGCCCAGTAACGTCTCCATTGGA